TCAGGTCAGAAGTTGGACTCCAAACATGTTTAAGTTCTTTCACCATCCCCACCTTTTACAGCCAACAAAGCTCACTGCACTGATTGGCTAGAGTGAGATTACATAGGATTGCATTAGGATAATGTGACAGAAGACAACTAGGACAGTGAAGCAGACGACACTTAGACAGAACACTGGGATTGTCCGGCACATGATATTTACACAGTTTGATAAATAGCTGTTAGGAAAAATAGTTAGAAAAGTACAGTTGACTATTCTGGCAGAAGACGGTCTGGATTTATCGTAGGTGATGCCATATTGATGCAATAGCTGATACTCAGATGGTGATCAAAGCAGTTAACTGATAAAGCTTTTTAGCAAACTGCCAGTGGACTGTTGTAGTAGTCAACAGGTAGACCAGTAAAGCAGATGACACAGAGGTAACAAAACCCACGGCATTGAAGACAGCACCTGTTCAACCTTCCACTGTGGAAGCACACCTCTCATGCCACATAACAGATAGAGTGATCAAGGCGGTGGAGACAGACTTTATAATGATGGCAATGGCGTGAGTAAATGCGACAGACTATAGCCATTTATTTCTCTATGTAACGTGTATGTGTGCTGCAGTGTCTTTTTTTTGGGGGGGGGCTGCTTTTTTTCACAGTAAACTGGTCTGAGGACTTTAAGAAATATATTTTTCATTTTTAGAAAAGTTAGGAACATCAAAAATTACACCAGTTCATGCTAGTCATGTGGATTAAATGTTTCATGAAGCTTTGAATATGAGAACATTATAAGCATATCAATATTTTTGGCCAGACATACTATTATGAATGGCCATTGCATATAACTTTCATGGTGAAATAAGCAGATTGATTCTCACTAAATGAGCTGCTGTGGATTGATTAATGACATCATACCTAAAATATTGTCCTTGTACATAAAACAGTTCATATCTTTAACAGATTTCTAATATTGCCTCCAGATCTGTTGATCGAGTCAAACTTATTTGCTGTCAGAGGTGATTTTTTCAAAAATTTTATGGGTGTAAGTGCCACATGATTTACATCATACTTGAAATGTTCGGCACACTTTTTCACAGCATTACGTCATAGGCAGATTGTTCTCAAGAGCAAAAAGAATCCACCCTTTGAGTGTGCACTTTGTCAGTATAGTTGGTTCTCTCTTAGAAATTATGCAGAACAAGTAGCAAGCAGAGGTATTTATCTGATGATGTATGCTCTGATGCAATTCCAGACTACTTAAGCTGATGAAAAGCCATTATTTCAATATCTAGTAAATTATTTGTTGTAGTGTGATAAGTGATATATATGTGCAATTCCATGATTTGATATTAATGAAATATAGCTGAGGAGGCTTCACATTATGGGTATATTATATGCAGATACTATAATACTGATCACTGAAAGTAATGGAATTAGTACCCCTTTCTCTCCACCTCTCTCTCCCCCACCCTCTTTAAACCCCTCCCTTCATTTCTGCCTTTGTGGGAAATTACGCAAAACAACGTAATACCTATTAAGATATTCTCCTGTGGGAATACTGAAAGGAGAGGTTGCTTAAAAAGTGCGAGACCCATAAAAACCTAATATATGTGACTAAGTAGACCCTTTGATGCATATAATAAAACACATTTAATATACGAGGTTAAAAAGAGCAACACACACATTAACGTCTTGTGATAGACCTGTTTTGTTGGTGGATAATTTTAGATCAGCTGTTAGCATAGTTACTGTTATGTTGAAATGGTTTTTTAGGGATATTTCCAGGTTATTTTGTGAAAAATGTGCATATGCATCAAACTATTTTTATGAATTTGCTTTGCCACAATTTAAATTGTATCAACAGGTATTTATTATTTGCAACCTAATTAGCTTGATAAAGGCTAAAAACAACTTACAGTCCTGATATTGCTCATAAAAATTCAGAAGTTCAAAAAACGTTAGCCCGTCCCAAAAGATGTAGGTGTTAAAGGTCAGAAATCCAATGGATAATCCAAACAGGGTTGACAGTTACTGTTTATTTATTGCTTGTGTTTTTCTTTCAAAAAAATTTTTTTCACATTTCTGTATGACATTCACTTACCATTCCACCCTACACAAAATCACGCCACAACCACGTTGTAACGATCATTGACAAAAGTACAGATTGGTAAACCTTTTAAATTTTAATAGCTCCTCAGTAATTAATGTCTGATTGGTCTAAGTGACTTCGCCTTATTGTTGTGTACGCCTAGTGTTTTTGCTTCAGTTGCTGAAAATATATTAGCATGCCGTTGCAAGGGTGTTCCTCTGGAATTTGTCGCCCAGTCATTCTTGGAAGAATGCCGTTGAATGAAAGTGAAACAAGGCGGGACACATAGTTCAACTGCAGGAAAATTTTCTTTTTGATTCTTATACTCATCTTGTTCTTTTTGCTCAGTGGGAATTGAAATCTTGTATTGAAGAATCTGAAATGTTTCACCCTTATTACAATGAAAAAATATGGAAACAGGACCTTGGACTTAGATATTTTTCTGGCCCTGTGTCAGGTAGGGGAGGTCTAATAGCCTCTCTCAACATACCCTCACATACAGAGGTCCATGTATCAATTTCTATCAAAATGAAGAAAACCAGTCTTAGCTGTAGCATTAACTGACTGAATCCAATGGTATGAAGCAATAGTACTGTAATTACTCAGTCTTTTCAATGGGGGAAAATTGTGAATTATACAGATGCTGTAACTTATTTTTTAAGTCATAATTTGTTAATATTGGAACATTCCTATAGAATGGTAGCAATAGAATTAAAGAGCAGGATACTCTATAGTCCTATTCTATGCAGTAAAAGCACCGTAAATGCTTTATAGAAATATAATTTGGGTGATTAAAAATGATGGATCTGAAAGTTTGATAATTTTAGTCTATTGAAACAATCGCGTCAGTACCGCAAGGGCTAACTGTTACTCTCCTCTCCCAGAAATGAGCCGCTAAAATCACTGAAGACCCAAACAAATTCACTGTTCCTGCCTTGAGCACCCAGTCACTTCCCCACTGTGGTCAGCATGACTGTTGTTATGGGTATTCCAGTACTGGACAGTACCACTACCGGTGACACCTATGGGTGGAGGAAATATGGAGATTGATAACACAACGCAAAGGGAATGCCACAGATAAATTTTAAAGATAGCCAGTGATTATGTCCTGTTTTTACCTCATTTTTCCTTATACAAACTCTGTGTGATGAATGTGTCTGGTTGGGACTGGTATAATTAATGGAACAGGAAGTTGACCTCATTAATAATTTTTTTAAAATATCCAAAAAGTTAACACGGTGAAAATAGACGATGTTTCTTATTTCATGCAGATATCTGCATGTTATTATCCTTAAATTTCTTTGGGTTATCAGTAAAGAGGATGTCAATGCATGAGTCAAAATATTTGATGAATAATATTATTACTTTTAAATTGCTGATTAACTGATGCTTCAAGATAACATTGCTTTAGATCTACGCATTTATTTTTTATTACGTTTCTGTTTTCTTATTTACTTTCCTGTGTTCATTCATTTGCTTATTTATTTATTTATTTATTTATTTATTTATTTATTTATTTATTTATTTATTTATGTGTTCATTCAAATATTTATTGAAAAAAGGCAAGGTTAATTTGATAATTTAAAATGACTGAAATCAAACATAAAATCTGAGATGAGATAACACTTATAGTTGATATCTAAGAGAAAGGATATGACTGCCACCCTGCTTACTACATATTACATACATAAGGAAAAAACAAAAGTAAAGCCATAAATTATGGGTGGACTCCCTCCCACATCAAAGCAGCTGCATTTTTAATTCAATCACCAAGTTGATGTGCATTTTACCAGTCATATCCAAACCACATGTGACTGTCTTTTGATTCTCATCAGATAACTGCTACAGATGACAAGTTTCCGATGTCATATCGTACACTTCTCATGAATGACACATTTACCGAATTGAGGATCCTGGACACCTTCATTACGCACAATGAGTAATTATTTTATAATGAGAAGGATTTATAGAATGGGTTTAACTTGGATTTAGGTGTATACTAGTAGGCAATTGTCCTGGTAATTGGGTGTCTAGTCAGCAGGTTACAGATCGTTTCATTCTGGATTTTACTGTTATGTGTGATAGGTAGGTATTTGAGTAAAGCTTTGGTGTCATTTTAATCACTTGTTACTGCTTTAAAATACTTATTTGATTAGAAAACAGATAGCACCAACATTGGACAGCATAACTTGTGTGCTGATTTGAGGTCTATAATCTGTTTTGTGTTATAGTTTGTATTTGACCTGGGGCTTACAATCTTATGTGTGATGTATATTAAGTACTGAGTTTGATTATGGTTTTTACTCAGTATAAACTCTGTTTTCATAAAAAAAAAGGGAAAGAAAAAAGAAATCTGGTTTAGAGCAAAATTTTCACTATCATTCTGTACTTATGGGTTCTTATAGTTCTGTTACATCTGATATAGACAGTGTCAATTTTTTTTATTAAATTGTTCATGGTTCCAAGACCTTGAATTAAGTTTTAGCTTTTAGCTCTAGAAATCGCTTACTTTGGAACAAAATGTTTCAAACAGCTATTCTTCACTTTTATCACAAGAACATTCAGGGCATTTAATCTGCAGACACTCTTGTGATAAAAATTAAATGTAGGGCTTTCAAAGTTTTGTTTCCATTGTAAGTTATTCTCATCATTCAAAAGGTTTGGATAAGACCTTTTGAATCTTCTCTGGCAATTTTATGTTGGCATAATATAGATATTGATGGATATTGACTGTGTTACTGTTACATACGCATTACCACTATGTACATTTATATTTAATAATGTAAACATCTAGTTTATGTAGTTGGTATATGTCCTTTATGCCATCGGCATGTTTCATTGCTATTAGTGGTTTATGTTTAGGATATCTTCATCTCTGAAATGTAGTCATTTCTGTATTACTGATATTTTCCTTTCACTTTCAGAGCTGCTAAGTAAAACAAAATTTTGAGACTGATGAAAAGTTGTGACGACTTCTGACTCCAGCAGACACCAGTGTTGTGACAGCACAGACAGCAAGATGGCAGTTCACAGACACATCCTTGTATTTATATGCTTAGCTGTGGCCAAACATGGTAAGTAGAAGAGCGTATAATAGTTCAAAACACAGAGAATTCAAGGACAGATACAAAACAAAATGATGGGTTCAGCCCTTGTCCTTCACTAGAAGAGAGAAAAGACAAATGCAAAATACCTAGGCCCACATAAATGCCATGAAATTTCCCAAACATTTTTATATCATTTCTTCCTGATCAGGGAAGGTGAAATTTTCTGAGAAGAAGGAGGGGAGCAATATGGTGTTCACCTTGATATCTTAAATATTAACAAGGGTGTTCATGGTCTCTTTTTCACAGTGCCTAAATGTGACGTTTTAACTTAAAAGTGCAGCCAATTTATGATAGACTCTGTATTAATTGATTCATGGATTTTAATTTTTCACAGATCTGTTTTTCTTTTTTTAAATCCTGAAACCATTGTGTTTGTGATAGTGGTAATGATTTCTCCAGACACTGAGAAACTACTAAGGCTCTTTCCTGGTTTTGTGCAATAAGTGACAAAAATATCAAAGGTTTCTAACTTGACATAGTTAATACTCATCAGAATATGTGTTGTAGACTGATCAGTTTTCAGCCATCACCAAATAACAAATTTCATGCCAAGAAATTTATCACAGTTATCTGGTGTTTTTCTTTTGATCAGAGCATTTTGAACATGTTCATAATCTCTTATTTCCTGGAAATAAGTGTCACAAAGATAGAGTTGGTAGCACTGAAATATTTTATTGAAGTTTGTAAAACATGTACTTCCGCTGTTTGCCTGGATATGATTCAAGAAAAATTGTGATCTTATTTTGGAGAGGAGTCTTCTTAATTATACAGACTGTGCTGTGTTTTGCTGCTTGTTGATACAGTAGTTTCTGATTTGTGTACTTAGATATTTGAATTGTATTTACTTCCACGATATCATAGTGACTGACATATTTTCATAACCTTCCCAACACATCTGTGAAGCTGGGTGTTTTGTCAAGCTGATGTTAAGTTTGTTCATGAGAAATTTTTCCTATATTTTTGTTACTGAGAAATTTGTCAGTCTTTTGTAAAAATAATTCTCCCAACTTAATTATTTTTTTGTGGCTCAGGGAGGGCATATTAGTTGAATGCATTTTCCAAAAACCACATTGTTCAAATTAGTAAAATACACCAGCCACTGAACTTGCATTAAGGACATTTCCTCATGTTCAGTAGGAGTTTTCAAACATGCACCCATTATGTGTCTAAGTTCCCATGGAGAGGAATCAATGATGAATGTACCCTTAATATCTGTATGGTGAGTTTCATTTAATTAAGGGTGGACCCAGTCTGATGAAATAAGGCTAAACTCTTTTAAACTAAGTGCCTTTTTTGGACTACTTTTATTGCCCCCTCCCACGAGGCACATGCAATATGCTTTCAATCAGTATTTGAAAATGCATGGTTGTAGCATTGCCTTAGGCCTCCATAGTAAAAAAGTAAAAAATGTAAATTGATTAGGTAGGCCAGGAATGTCAAATCAGGGACAAATAAGGAAAGTGAATTTCTCTTTTTTCAGTCTCTTATGTAATGGTTTATGTTAGATTAATATATTACCAAACTGATGATTCTTTGCATATGTTATCATTAAACTTTTACAAAAATGTAACTTATTAGTTTGAGGCCAGTAATGGATTTTCAATACTGTGAACTAGCAGTGATCTTTGCCCAGAGACCTCACCCAAGCAAGAAGTGTCAAGAGTAGGACATTTAAAAAAATGATAATTTGATGATTAATGGGCTTGTTTGGGGTGAAGTCAAATGGACTGAAACTTTGAAACTGTGGAATAGAGCTGAAAGAATTCTCACAATGGGTAGATCACAGATATGTATATTCCCCCTGATAAGTGATTGCTACAGTGAAATCGTACTTCTTTTCCAAGCTGCCAGTGTGATTTGATTATAGCAGTGTTTTCCTACAGTTGGTTGCAATGAGTTTGATTACAATAGCTTTACTCCTCAATAGTGTTTTTTTTTTTAAGATTACAATAAATTTCTTTTGTTTCTTCCAGTCTACAGCCAAGGTGAAGATGGAATGGATCCAATTCCAACAGAGGGCACTCTGCCACCAGGATATCCTTTACCTTCCGCCTCAATCCCTGACACAAGCCAGCAGAACAACTCAACTGATGCTGCTGCTGTGAGCTCAACTAACACTTCTGAGACAGAGACCTCATTGCAGCCGGATGTGACAACTGTCACAACTAGCACAATTTACAGTAATTCTACAGCTGATGCACCAACAAGTTCAGGAACTACTGAGTCTACAGCAGGCACTGATTCAGATGGACAACAAGGACAAACAACTTCAGGGGAGGTGTTTGTGTACCCCACTACTCCTGGGGATGATGTGACTGTTGTTGTTGAGGTTTCTAATTCAACTGAATCTGCCTCTGACAGCAATAGTACTACAAATACCACTTCTGTGTCTGGAGGTAATATAACTGCAGAGGTACCCTCACAAGAAGAAAATGTGACTATTGTGGCCACCACCATATTAGTATCTGCCACAGATTCTTCCATTTCTACTATAGAAAACACTACAGAAATAAATTATACTGATACAGAATCCACCACTGCTCCATCTTCAGAGAGGGAATCTACAGCATTCTATGCCACAGAGCCAGAATCCACAACCACAACTCCTGTTACAGAGGCAGAATCAACAACCATACCCCCTCCCACAGAGGCAGAATCAACAACCATACCCCCTCCCACAGAGGCAGAATCAACAACCACACCCCCTCCCACAGAGGCAGAATCAACAACCACACCCCCTCCCACAGAGGCAGAATCTACTACCATACCCCCTGTCACAGAGACAGAATCCATTAGCACACCTCCTGTCACAGAGGTAGAATCTGCAACCACACCCCCTGTCACAGAGACAGAATCCATTAGCACACCTCCTGTCACAGAGGTAGAATCTGGAACCACACCCCCTGTCACAGAGACAGAATCTACAACCACACCTCCTGTCACAGAGGTAGAATCCACAACCTCACCCTCTGTCATAGTTGAATCCACAACCACACTACCTGTCACAGAGACCGAATCCACATCAGAGGTGCCTTTCACAGAATCAACAATTGGAGCTGCAGTTACCATTTTTGAAAGGTCCCAATTAAATATCACAACAGTGGAAACCACCATCACAAGCAGTTATAATCCTGTTACTCCAGGAGAAAATGATACTGTTGTTGTCAGTGTTGAACCAGCAGTTACAACTAGTGAACCAATCTCTCAAGTAAATGTGACTGAGGAAACTGTAGACACTACAACAACTACTGGTATGACACCAAGGGAAGAAAATGTTACATCAGTTCATACAACTACCACAAGTGATTTTATTGCTCCTGTTACCCCTGCAGAAAATAATACTGTAATTGTCAGTGTTGAACCAGTAGTAACTAGTGAATCCACCTCTCAGGTGAATGTGACTGCAGAAGTAGTAGAAGGTACAACAAGTACTGTGACAACACCAATGGCAGAAAATGTTACAACTGTTGAAACAACTACCACAAGTGATTTCATTGTTCCTGTTACCCCTGGAGAAAATGATACAGTCGCTGTCAGTGTGGAACCAGCAATTACAACTAGTGAACCAACCTCTCAAGTGAATGTGACTGCAGAAGTTGTAGAAAGTACAACATCTACTGTAACAACACCAATGACGGAAAACATTACAACTGTTGAGACAACCACAAGTGATTTTATTGTTCCTGTTACATCTGGATATAATGATACTGTAATTGTCAGTGTTGAACCAGCTGTAACAACTAGTGAACCAATCTCTCAAGTGAATGTGACTGAGAAAACTGTAGAAAGTACAACATATACTGGTATGACACCAAGGGCAGAAAATGTTACATCAGTTCATACAACTACCACAAGTGATTTTATTGTTCCTGTTACTCCTGGAGAAAATGATACTTTTGCTGTCAGTGTGGAACCAGCAGTTACAACCAGTGAATCCACTTCTCAAGTGAATATGACTGCAGAAGTTGTAGAAAGTACAACAAGTACAACAGCAATGGCAGAAAATCTTACAACTGTTGAAACAACTACCACAAGTGATTTTATTGTTCCTGTTACCCCTGGAGAAAACGATACTGTTGCTGTCAGTGTGGAACCAGCAATTACAACTAGTGAACCAACCTCTCAAGAGAATGTGACTGTGGAAGTTGTAGAAAGTACAACATCTACTGTTACAACACCAGTGACAGAAAATGCTACAACAGTTGAAACAACCACCTCAAGTGATTTTATTGTTCCTGTTACCCCTGGAGAAAATTATACTGTTGCTGTCAGTGTTGAACCAGCAATTACTACTAGTGAATCCACCTCTCAGGTGAATGTGACTGCAGAAATTATAGAAAGTACAACAAGTACAACAGCAATGGCAGAAAATCTTACAACTGTTGAAACAACTACCACAAGTGATTTTATTGTTCCTGTTACCCCTGGAGAGAATGACACTATTGCTGTCAGTGTTGAACCAGCAGTTACAACTAGTGAACCTGATGGTCAAGTCAACGTTACTGTCAACTATACTACAGAAGTTGTAGAAACTTCACCACATACTGTAACAACACCTGAAGAAAGCACAACAACAGAACCAGTAATTGTGTACAATGTTACATCACCAGAAGCTTCAACTAGTGACCCTGTCACTGAAGCAAATGCTACAACACCAGTGGCAGAAAATGTCACAGATGGAGCAATAGAAAGAACCACAATAAGTGAATTTGTAACTCCAATTACACCAGAAGAAAATGACACTGTTGTCGTCACCATTGCACCTGATGTGACAACTATGGAGCCAGAGGTCACATCTTTGGAACCTAATGCCACCACGGGTGACAATGCAACTGCAAAACCCAGTATCATCCCTGCCGTCACAACCACAGAGCCTAATGTCACCACTGCTGTGACAGATACCACTGAAACAGTGTCTCCTACAACCACTGCTGAATATGAACCTCCCATTACTCCAGGAGAAAATGAAACTGTTGCTGTAAGCATTTTCCCAGACTCAACAACAACTATGACAGCACCAAGTGCAAATGTGACTGAAAATGTTACTATGTCAACTGATTCTGTGACCCAACCATCTGCTGTTAATGTAACCTCTCCTCAAACAACAACACCAGTCATAGTTACAAGCCCTGAAATAGAGACAACAACGACATCAACAATAACAACTACAGTGACCACCACAATGACCACCATGATGACAACCTCTCAAGCTTACGAACCAGATGTTGATGAGACCTTTTTTGTGATGAAATTTGATGTAGACTGCATCATTGTGAAAGGTGATCCAGATATTGAAAAGCACTTTCAGAATGAACTCAAGGATAAGTTGATTGAAGAATTAAGCCTTCCTGAAGAAGAAGTTACCATGAGAGGCACTGAATGTGGCTCTATTCTAGCCACATTCTCCATTGCTAATGTAAGTGAGACTTCACCCAAAGTGCAAGTGTTGAAGAGCCTGGTTGATATTGGTGAGATAACTATCAGTTTGAATACAACCATCAATGGCACCATGAATCTGACAGCATCTGCACTTGAGATTGTGGCACCACCCTCCATGACAACAATGGCACCTAATAATGTCAGCATGACAACAGGAACCCCTCCTCCAGAGAATGCAACAACTGATATGACAACAGATTTTTACAGTGTAACTACAGACAATGTTACAAGTATAGAAACAACAACTTCCGATGATTTTGCTGCTCCTGTTACCCCTGGAGAAAATGCTACTGTCATTGTAAGCATTGCTCCTGATGTTACAACCAGTGAACCCGTTTCTTTTAATGAAACAATGAACTATACAACAGCAACCATAGAAACAACTATCCTACCTGGCGAAAATGATACTGTTACTGCTAGCATTGCTCCAGAAGTTACAACTAGTGAACCTGTTTCCTTTAATGAAACAATGAACTTTACAACAGCAGCCACAGAAGCAACTACAACAAGTGATTTTCTTCCTCCTGTTACCCCTGGAGAAAATGATACTGTCATTGTTACCATTGTGCCAGAAGTTACAACTAGTGAACCAATTCCTTTTAATGAAACGATGAATTATACCACAGCTGTTGTAGAAGCAACTACAACAAGTGATTTTGTTCCTCCTGTTACCCCTGAAGAAAATGCTACTGTCATTGTTAGCCTTGCCCCAGAAGCTACAACTATAAATGTAAATGATACTGTGAACTATACAGAGACAACCCCAATGATAGAAGCAACAACAATAGCATACAATGTTACAACCTCGATGGCAGAAAACTTTACAACTTCAGACACTACAATAGTAACATATATTGGTACAACTCCTCAGGCAGAAAATGTTACAGCCACGACTGATTACTATGACACAACAGTTACAGAGTACAGTGCCACAACAACTCCAGAGGCAGAGAATATTACTATGGCAGAAACAACAACAGTGGGATACAATGTTACAACAGACATTACTGAAACTACAACAGCTGGGTCTGTCATTGAAACAACAACAGCAGTAGACAACACAACTGTAACAGAAACAACAACTAGGATATACAATCTTACAACCCTTGTTTTTACCAGTGTTACAGACACCACAACCAAACCAATAACAACTGCCAAGCCAGAGAAACCTCCAAAGGAAAATACGTATGTTCTTACATTTGATGTTGATTGCAGTGTGATTAAAGGAGATGCAGATGTTAAGCGAGAATTCCTGAATTCACTCAAAGCTACATTGGCATCTTTACTTGGAATACCTGAAGACAGCTTCACCATGAATGAACCAACTTGTGGCTCTCTAGTTGTCAGTCTTACAATTGCTAACACCACAGGGACGAATGTCACACAGATGATNAAAAACTTTACAACTTCAGACACTACAATAGTAACATATATTGGTACAACTCCTCAGGCAGAAAATGTTACAGCCACGACTGATTACTATGACACAACAGTTACAGAGTACAGTGCCACAACAACTCCAGAGGCAGAGAATATTACTATGGCAGAAACAACAACAGTGGGATACAATGTTACAACAGACATTACTGAAACTACAACAGCTGGGTCTGTCATTGAAACAACAACAGCAGTAGACAACACAACTGTAACAGAAACAACAACTAGGATATACAATCTTACAACCCTTGTTTTTACCAGTGTTACAGACACCACAACCAAACCAATAACAACTGCCAAGCCAGAGAAACCTCCAAAGGAAAATACGTATGTTCTTACATTTGATGTTGATTGCAGTGTGATTAAAGGAGATGCAGATGTTAAGCGAGAATTCCTGAATTCACTCAAAGCTACATTGGCATCTTTACTTGGAATACCTGAAGACAGCTTCACCATGAATGAACCAACTTGTGGCTCTCTAGTTGTCAGTCTTACAATTGCTAACACCACAGGGACGAATGTCACACAGATGATGCAAGAACTGATTGACAATAATCAGTTGTCTGTAAATGTGACCACAGCAAATGGTACCTTGACATTAACAGCATCAGACCTAGAAGTCATTACTCCACCACCTGAGACAACAACTGCAGCCACAACTGTGACAACAACAACAGAAACAACAACAGTAACAACAACCAGGCCTATCATCGAAGGCAATGTGACAACTGCTACACCCGAGACAACAGTAGAACCATCCAATCAAACAACTGTCCCAATGACAACATCAATGTCAACAACATCTTTAGCACCTGTTGTAGAACCTGACACCACTTATCGCATTACATATGAGGGAAACTGTGAGGATGTGATCAACGACATGGGCAATCAGATGATGTTTAATACATTTTTTCAATCGAAAATCATGGTAGTGCTCAATGTGGACCTGAACAGAGTAACAGTGGAAAAGTTTTCATGTGGGTCCTTACTTGTGGATTTTACCATATACAACACTACAGGCACCAACATTACTGAGCAGCTACAGGAGGCATTAATTTATGGCCAGTTGGACATTTCTATAGATTGGTTGGCCAATTATACTGCTACTGATCTGATTATCATCATGCCACCCCAAGTAACTACTACTTCTCCAACAACAACTGAAGCAGAAAATGTTACCACTATGGCACCAGTGGCTACAACTGATCTCGAGAATGTTACTGCTGCATTGGAGAATGCAACAACATTGACACCACTGTTCACAACTGAGGCAGATAATGTAAATGTCACCACCGAAGTAGAAAATGTCACCACCACAACCCCATTGTCTACTGATGCAGGTAATTTTACAACCATGGAGATGACAACACCTTCTACAACAAAGTCAATGGACAAAAAAGAAGACGTAACATTTATTATGACTTTTGATGTGGACTGTTCAGCTGTGTCTGATCCTGCAGATAAATTGGAATTCTTCACAGCTCTGAAGGCCATCCTTGCCGAACTGCTTGGCATACCAGAAGATTCCATAAGCAGTAATGACATTAGATGTGGTTCTATTGTTGTGGACTTCACTATTGCCAATACAACAGGACTCAACATAACAGAGAGGCTGAATGCTCTAGTAAATGCGGGATCATTGAGTTTTAATGTGACTCTTCAAAATGGAACCATAGAGTTTACAGCTGCAACTGTTGAAGAAAGCATTTCAGTGACCACAACAGAGGCAACACCAATGACAACCACTGTGGCAGAGAATGTCACTTACCCTGCAGAGAATGCAACTACAACAATATCTCCATTTTCAACAACTGAGGCAGATAATGTTTCAATGGCAGAAAATGTCACAACAGCAACACCATTTTTAACAACTGAGGCAGAAAACGTCACAACAGCTATACCATTTTCAACAACTGAGGCAGATAATGTAACAGTGGCAGAAAATATCACAGCAGCAACACCATTTTCAACAACTGAGGCAGATAATGTAACAGTGATGGAAAATATCACCACAGCAACACCATTTACAACAACTGTGGCCGATAATGTAACAGAAGAAGCCAATATGACCACACCTGAGTCATTTCCAACTATTACGCCCACAATGGCCACCCAGGAGAACACAACATACACTCTTGAATTTGATGGCGATTGCAGTACACTGAAATCTGAACCAGGTTTAGAGCAAGAATTTTTAGACCAACTGTATGAAATTCTTGTCATGAGGCTTGGCATTTCCGCTGATCAAGTGGGCATGTTAGATTTGAAGTGTGGTTCTGTACTGGTAGACTTCACAATCACAGGTGCAGGCAGTTCCAATGTGACACAGTCTCTACTGGCACTAGTTGAGGAGGGACTAAGTATTGCAGTGAACACTACACAAAATGGAACGGTTTACTTTGTGGCACAGGCATTGTACACTGTAAGACCTACACCTGAAGTCTTGACAACAACATTGCCAACCACTGGAATGACAACAGAATATGACAATGTCACTACAACTGAAAATGGTACCATGGTGACAAATATTACTACCCCAGTCATGGTTACTGATAGTGACAATGTGACCACTCCTGTACCTACAGGAGTGACTGAAGTAGACAATATTACAACCACTACATTGGCACCCCAAGAGAATGCCACTACTTCTAGTGAAAATGTCACTGATGTGATTTATGTTACAACAACAGCCCCAGACGATGTAACTGAGTCACAAAATGTAACCGTAGAGGCCAACATGACCACCACTCTGCCAACAGCAGCTGTGACAACAGAGTTAGGCAATATCACAACGACAGTTGCAAACTTAACTACAACCATGTCAACACCTTTTGTTACTGAAACAGACAATGTTACCACCCTTGAAAATGTAACAACAACAACAACACCCATGAGTGATAACATCACTACAATAGCACCAACACCAGAGTATACAAATGCAACAACTGAACTGACAACATCAGTGACAACACCTGTTGTCATGACAACAGAGCAAACAAATGTTAGTGCAGACGAGACATTTGTCATGACATTCGATGTGGACTGTTCAGTTGTGTCTAATCCTGCAGATAAATTGGAATTCTTCAGGGCTCTAAAGGCCATCCTTGCTCAATTGCTTGGCATACCAGAAGACTCGGTGAGCAGTAATGACATTAGATGTGGGTCTATTGTTGTGGACTTTACCATTGCCAATACAACAGGACTGAACATCACAGAAAGGCTGAACGTTCTCGTTGCCAGTGGTGCATTGACCTTTAATGTCACACTGCAGAATGGTACCACTGTTGAGTTTACAGCTGCTGATGTTGTGGAATCTGGTGTTTATACATCACCAACACCAACAGTAGAAACAACTATGAAAATAACCACAACAGCAGAAATAACAACCTCTAGTTCAACCACAGAGACAACTCCTAGCACAACTACAGAGACAACAACAGAAACAACAACTACAGAAACAACAACAACAGAAACAACAACAACAGAGACAACAACTCCAAGCACAACTACAGAAACAACAACAGAAACCACAACAACAGAGACAACAACTCCAAGCACAACTACAGAAACAACAACAGAAACCACAACAACAGAGATAACAACTCCAAGTACTACTACAGAAACCACAACTGCTGAAACCACAACTACATCACCTTCAACCACAACACCAGTTACAACTCCTGAAGAAACCACTGCCTCACCAACCCCAACTAGCACGACAGAAGAAACCTTGCCAGTAACAACAGCAGCTGCAGTACCTTCCACAACCACAGAAGCAACTGCACAAAACACAACAGTCATCATCAAATTTGATAAAGATTGCAAGTTACTTAAGAATGAAGCTGATAAAGAAATATTCAAGCAGTCTCTACGAGAAAAGCTCTCAACACTGCTGAATATTTCATCTGAGAAAATTGTGATGAATGCCGTTACATGTGGGTCTGTGCTTGCAAATGTCACTTTTGTTGACAGCAATGAAACTGTGGTGTTGGGACAACTGCAGAGTATTGTGAGGAACAAGGAACTAGTTGTAGATATGGATGCCAAGGGCCAGTTTACTGCTGTTGATGTTTCAACAGATGGAGTTTTTGCAACAACACCACCAAAAGTGCCACCCACTCCTGCTGGCAGCACCTCAGATTTGAGCCAGACAGATTTAGTCATTATTATTGTAGTAGTAATTGTAGTAGCAGTAATATTAATTGCAGTTGTGGTGCTCGTTTTGTGGTGGTGCTGTAGACGAAGTCACCACAAGACATTCAGGCTCACAGAGACTCCAGATTATAAGGTCGAGGAGTACACCCTAGCTCCCATGTCCAGAGACTATGGTGTGTATACAGAGAATGGGACTAATAATGTATATCCTGTGGCAGCCTCAAATGTTGGCAGCAGCTCCATAGGCAGTAATGGCAGCCATAAAACAAATGATAATAAAGCAGGATACAATGCATATTCACCACCTTCATATCAAGCAAAGACAAACTCTACAGCTTCAGTAAAATCTGACCAATCGGATCATGGGTCATTCAATCCAAGAGCTGACCATTCTGACCACGGGTCAAGACCTAGTTCAGGATTGGGCCAGGAAATAGATCAGGGCAGTCCTAAAGCAGACCATGACCCAGAGTTAGGGCAAAGACAAGTGCATACTTATGATGAGGATGATATTAATGGCGGAATAGTAAATCCAAGCTATTCCCATGACACTAGTGACAACCATTCTTCAAATTATAGAGATGATAATAACATTCATAAACAAAGTGACACTGTAGCGCAGGTATCAGAAGTACACTTAGACATTCAGAATGAGTGAAATGCTAATGCAGCCAATAAGGCAAAAGGAGTGCAGCCATTTCATTGAATTTTAATTTACGTACATATATAAGTTAAAGATATAAAATGGAAACCACCTTCATATAACATTAAAAAAATCTAGTGATGAATGACTGAAGCCTGCAATTTATGAAGATGGCATATATATCACTATGAATGCAGGCCGATACTTTTCTGCATTCTTGCCAGTACACACAAGTGTGGAAAGACTAAGGAAATATAGAAGACTATATCTTTAAGTAAAATAGGATGATATCAACAGGCAAGTTATTGCAAGGAATCATTGTGTTCAGGAACAGTGTATTAAACTCAGCCTGAAGTAGCAGTGCACAGGTGACAGGATTTAAAGAGATTTTTACATATAATGCAACATGACATGGTATGAGGCATGATGCAATGACTGATGAACAAATACACAGTTTTAGGTCTGTGAAAGAAAAAAAAAGAAGAGCCTGAATTATTTTAGTCTGATTATATTCCATTATAATGGTTCTAAAAAAGTTTCTATGTTAAGCACACTTGTTATTTGCAATATTCCAAGAACACTCGTGTGCTCATTGTATTCCTTAGGAAGACTTATTACTAGACACATTTTTTTTAATGTATGTTAACGTAAAATATGGATATAGAAGTATATACCTGCATATATAGATATATAGATAGTTATATAAATATACAATACATCAAGGGACCAATTTTGAGGCATAATCTATTTAAATTTTGTGGCGATTCATACTGTATTGCCAACAGCTAGTAAATGATAGAAAGGCAACACAATTTTTACCCCTGTAGGTTTTTATTTAAAATTGCAATTGCTTTAAGAAATGTTTTATTATTTTCTTTTAATATTGCATTTAAAAAGAAAACCTGTATATTTTCAAATGTTACAGTTACTATAATTTTTTATTTATTTATTTATTTATTTTTTGCATAATTTAATGATAATAGTTTCAGCATGCTCTGAGTTTTGTGTCCTGATGTAGTTTTACAGTCACTGGGACACATTGTGAAATTTAACCAAAAGTCCCATTTTGACCCAAAATGAGATGAAGAAGACTTTCAGATCTAGACTGCCTTGTAGAGTTTTTTTTTTTTTTTTTTTTTTTTTTACAGTATTTGTATTGAAAAGGTCACAGTTAGTGTATGATATTGACTTGCAGACATTTGGTGCTTATATAGGTAGGTGCACATGAGAGTGCTCCAATTGTATAAATTTTTGTTTGCTTTTTACGTGTGCTGCTGCAATTCAGTATTATATCTTGTCCCCATCATTGCCAACATTTAGAATTTCACCTGAAAATTTTGTTTTATCAATACCATATAAAGTTGGTGTTCTATAATTTTATTGTTCAAGATGTGGTGGGGTTGAATCTCATCTTGTAAACATCATAGCAGTTTGAATGCTTGTCAGTTCTTTTTAGTATTTACTGCACTTAGAAATTTTACAATCTTAAATCCATTCAGGTAGAATGGATAGAAATGTTCTTTTACCAACATATTTGTTTAGTTGAAAGCAACTTGAAGCGTGTAAAAATTAAGAACAAGTCATGGCAGATGTCTTTGGTAGGTTATGTAATGTAAGTTAATGTTGACAATTATGTTATGAATTGCTTGCGTATATTCATATTTAATCATTATAATTGAACATCTTTACAGTTGTATTTTATTCATTTTGTACCATTCATTGATATTATATACCTTGGATCTTGCAGGCATTGAACAGCTTTTTTATATACAATGAATGTATGACTGACACTGACATATTATCACTGACACTGACATATTATATATACAATTTTTTTAATTATTTTATTTATTTATTTATTTTTTAGTTTGTTTGATTGTTTGTTTGTTTGTTTGTTTGTTTGTTTGGGGGGGGGCGGGGTGGAAGTAGACTGAAATCTGCTTAAATATAATTAAACAGATTGCTCTTCATTTGAAACATCTATAGTGGTAGATGTATAGTATTACATAGTATATTCAAGGAGGATTTCATTTGGACATCCAAATTGTTTCATCCTTATAGGGCCATTTGTTAAGTCATATAGGATTCTCTGTTTAATATGTATCCATACTTGCCATGTGCAAAAAGAAGTAGAGAATTAAGATAGGACAAAGATTCACAAGTCAAATGGGAAGACTTAAACATTGTGTAGTTTTAAATAATTATACATTTCAACTGATTCAGAAGTGAAAACAAAAAAAGCCTTATAAAAACATATCTGTATTACGAAAATTAGTAAAGATATATAATGGGCTGACTTTAAGTAAGCCAGAATGGCCTTTTCATGAAAACTAGGCCATTGTGTGATCAGTTGAATGTATTAGATGTCCAATATACAGGGACCATTTTTATAACTGTTAAACAACTGCAATATTTTCATATAAAGTACTCCAAAATGCATGCTTTGCTCAAAAATAAAATATTTTTAAAATGTAACTTGCACTGTTTTTTTTTTTTTTTTTTTTAATTTACATAACACAAACTTTGTTGAACTTGAATCCTGCACAGGCACACTCAGTAACATTTTAAAATTTAACCAATTAAAGCTACGGTTACATTTCCATGTCTCTTGGTGTTTTGAATATTTGTTGAAGGTCTATTCTTCATGCATTCATATAAAAATGGAGATATTTCTGGCATTTATATTTTATTAATAGACATGGCTTTCTTATAATTCAATTTCATATTCACAAATATACACAATGCCTCATACGGAGAATTCTCTTCATTTTTAACCAAAATAACTATTATCAGTGTTCATTTTTACAACATTATATGTCTATATACATTTATGACTTTCACCCAAAGCCAGTAAACAGTAGATCTTTTCCCTGCATCTAAGGTTCATTTCAGTCATATGATATCCGTATGGGTAATAAATACTGTATAAAGTAATAAACCAGACATTCATGTCACTCACTGTGAAATGAGGATCACCATGAGAATTGACAAGTCTTCGTGAGTTCTGTTTACTCATTTTTCATGTCTTAAAAATATCTTAGACAAATGTTTGAATGAATCAAGTGAGATACAGAAAACACTTTCTCCAAAATGACCATAAAAGTAATCACTGCGCCAAATTTCCACATTTTTTTGTTCATTTCATGATTCAGACAATGCAAGCTCTGAAGCCCCTAATATAGGTTCAAATCAAAGTAATATCAATATATGTACAGTTGCATTTTCAACTTGTGGTATATATAGTACATGTAAATGGAGAATACTAAAATAGGGTCCAACCCCAAATACCCATTATATAACAGTTTATACAAAATCCATGAAAACTCTAGTCTTTTTTACACATAAAAAGGATCAAATCCTCCAAATGGAGAAAAAATTCTATCCACAATGGCATAATTCAGCCATGCCATTAATGAAAATAAATGTCACTGCTTAAAGTGCTCTTGCAATGTTCTTACAAGTCTTACTTAAGAGTCAATTTCTATACTTCACATAGAAATGTCATAAATATTTTTCTTTAATTGACCAAGCTTTGCCTGACGCCCAATGACATTGGTATTGCCTGTATTAAAAGTGTGGGCATTAATTTTTGTATGGCTTGCATCCATCTACATCCATCCAGACTTCTGTGCTGATCACCTATGCATTGGTAGACTTAATTCCACATAAATCCCAAGTAAAACTAAATCTGACACCATATATAAATGTTTCTGATTGAAAATGGTGTCAAAAAAAAAAAAAAAAAGACAAGGACTGACATTTCAATTTAGGATCCTTGTAGAAATATTACACTGGCTAAGGTTCAGCATGGTATTGGGTGAAAATATAATGTACTTGTAAGTAACATTCAATAAGCTCTCTCCATTGCCAACTCTGTGGTCTTAAAACCACAAGAACTCAGTTCCAAGTGTTCTCAAGGAATTATGTCTCTCTTTCAAAAGTTTTGAACAACTCTAATTAAAAGTGAGCATTATATAACAGTACATTTTAAAAATTTCTTCTAGACTCTGGTGACACCTGTAGAGCTGTAAAAGTAGTTTCATTCATTGAGCTGAAATGTGCAAATCTCAGCAAAGTTGCAAATCACTCTTTCAACTTGGCCTCTCAATCCAGCAAGGTTATTCCTTTATTACCGCTAAAAAGCTGTACAGAATCGGTCTGTGGGTCAAAACATCACTGTTGTCAAACCGAAGATCTAAATACTTTGAGCAACATCACGTCAACTAGCAACTTTGCTGGGACACAATGACAGCATATGTGTTTGTCACACCACATTCTCAGTACCTCATGACACAAGCCAATGGGTTCCAATACATTCCTCGCCCTCTGATAAAACTTTTCCTGCTTCAGAACCGTAGGTGAGGCTTGAATTTTGTCAGATACCTGAAAAATATAATTAATTGTTCATAAAAATTGAGCACAGAGACCACAATTGTTTGGTTGAAGGAATAAAACAAATTTCAATCAAATGTTTAGTTTGAAGTTTTCAGATGCATATCAAGATTGTGTAATGTCTTTCTGAATTTTACAGTAATTTTTTAAATGTAAACTATGAAATCTGACATCTTAACTGATTTAGAAGACAGTAGTATTTTTGGCCGTTTTCACAGCTGTTCTTTAAATAACCGATGCAAAATAAAAGAAAAAATATGTATGGAGACAAAACATTTCATTGTTAGTAACAGAAAAGCTGTAAAAACAACTTATCAAGTTTTCAAGATAAAAACTGAAATCCACCCCCCCCCCTTCCGAGTTCTTCTTACAACAAAACAAAATGTGCCAACTAGTGAAAGAATATATTATCAAATCATAATTGAGATCACCACAGTGTGTGACATCCTGGCACTTCACTTACTTGTCTAGTGTGACCCAGAACTGCTGTAATGTGGCCCGATCTAGATGGCGCCGGTGTCTGTCTAGATTCAAAACACACACATCCCATTTTGCCACATTGTTATCCAGTGGTAACTCTGCCCATTTCACGTGGAAACCTCGAACTAAAATGTATGCATGAGGTTTTTATTTTACCACTTTCTTTTTTATAATAATATCTGCAATTTGTGTTTGAAAGTGGCTCTTAACATGATGAGATTGCTGCAGCTTTTTAGCCAAAAAAATACAATATCACTTGGTAACAAAAGTCATCTCCAGTCAGAATCATCAAATGCTCTTTTTTATGCCATAATGTGAAAAGTTATTACTAAACTTACTTCTGGAGAATATTTCCACAGGATTTCCACCCCATGGCCAGCCTTTAAACTGCCAGGCAGGACCCTGGACAAACACTGCCACAACCCTGTCCCTGTGGGAGAGAACACACAAACCTTTAACATACTATAATATATGCACCTTCTTAAAAAAACAATTCAAGTATTATACACTGATATAGAATCAATTTTTTCTGCTTTGTGAAGAAACTCTCATTCAGTTCCATAGCATAAGTCCCAAAGATGCATTATCTAAGTATGTTCAAGAAAAAAAGACATGCAAACAGAATGATCTAGACATGGGTCAGGTAATTGTACTTTCTATAACCATCAGTATGTCCTTTGCTTTAATTGTGATGACCTCCCACATAACCAAATAATTGTATTAACAGTTTGAGTTAAGAAAACTAAGAATACTAAAATATATCATTTGCTAATTTGGCAGCTTATTTCAAAAATAAACAACGATTTTGCTCAAGTTCAGTCTTACCAATCATCAGGGTTAAGTTTTGCAATACTGTCAATTATTCTGTAGGGCACTGTGGTACCGCCGTCCTTCCCCCTCTGTATCAGCACCTCGTTGTCGCGCTTGGTGCCCTGCGCCCTCTTGTCTTCCGTGCTGACAAATCTGTAATTATCAAGAGAGGGTTTTTAAAGTCCAGGACTAAGGCACGCAATTTTTTTACATAACTTAGTTTGAATTAAATTTCTTATCAAAATACCAAGTTCAAGCTTATTCTTCTACATCAACAGTTAAATTTTTTTCTAAGGTATATTAACAATGATTAAAATTCCAACAAAAATATTTTAGATTTTGGATCATATGATAGAAAAAGTCATGTTTAATTCCTTTATCTGCTAAAGGAGTGAGTCAAGACTTGAAACCCTGTATAAAAATATCATGTGGATATCAAAATGGAGATGCAAACAGGGCAACTATTTCAAGCATTTTCAGCAACACATTTTTCAAACCACAGAAGTCATTTGTCCAAGGCTATGAACAACATTGCAAACACTCTGTGGTGATAATTTTACGCACAGACAAAACATTAAATGACACATCAAAATGGCGACAATTCTCTTACTTGAGATCCTGTAGTATGTCCTTAGCATTATACATAGTAATGAGTGAGGTGGTGGCAGCTGGGATGATAATAATGGGGGTACGGGAACCTGAAAGTATACAGAAATTATTGAGAAATTCCAGCTTAAAAAAATGGTGATAAACAGAACCCTTCTGAAAAAAGGTCCCAAAAAGTAACAAGTTGATGAAAAAAAAAAAAAAAAAACTCAACCTCACATAGTGTTGAAAGTAACAAGTTACTTGTCAGGCAAAGTAATAGCTTTTAAAAACCAATATACATAACACTTTTATTGTTTCTAATTAATANCTTCAACTTGTGGTATATATAGTACATGTAAACGGAGAATACTAAAATAGGGTCCAACCCCGAATACCCATTATATAACAGTTTATACAAAATCCATGAAAACAAGTCTTTTTTACACATAAAAAGGATCAAATCCTCCAAATGGAGAAAAAATTCTATCCACAATGGCATAATTCAGCCATGCCATTAATGAGAATAAATGTCACTGCTTAAAGTGCTCTTGCAATGTTCTTACAAGTCTTACTTGAGAGTCAATTTCTATACTTCACATAGAAATGTCATAAATATTTTTTTTAATTGACCAAGCTTTGCCTGACACCCAATGGCATTGGTATTGCCTGTATAAAAAGTGTGGGCATTAATTTTTGTATGGCTTGCATCCATCTACATCCATCCAGACTTCTGTGCTGATCACCTATGCATTGGTAGACTTAATTCCACATAAATCCCAAGTAAAACTAAATCTGACACCATATATAAATGTTTCTGCTTGAAAATGGTGTCAAAAAAAAAAAAAAAAAAGACAAGGACTGACATTTCAATTTAGGATCCTTGTAGAAATATTACACTGGCTAAGGTTCAGCATGGTATTGGGTGAAAATATAATGTACTTGTAAGTAACATTCAATAAGCTCTCTCCATTGCCAACTCTGTGGTCTTAAAACCACAAGAACTCAGTTCCAAGTGTTCTCAAGGAATTATGTCTCTCTTTCAAAAGTTTTGAACAACTCTAATTAAAAGTGAGCATTATATAACAGTACATTTTAAAAATTTCTTCTAGACTCTGGTGACACCTGTAGAGCTGTAAAAGTAGTTTCATTCATTGAGCTGAAATATGCAAATCTCAGCAAAGTTGCAAATCACTCTTTCAACTTGGCCTCTCAATCCAGCAAGGTTATTCCTTTATTACCGCTAAAAAGCTGTACAGAGTCGGTCTGTGGGTCAAAACATCACTGTTGTCAAACCGAAGATCTAAATACTTTGAGCAACATCACGTCAACAAGCAACTTTGCTGGGACACAATGACAGCATATGTGTTTGTCACACCACATTCTGAGTACCTCATGACACAAGCAAATGGGTTCCAATACATTCCTCGCCCTCTGATAAAACTTTTCCTGCTTCAGAACCGTAGGTGAGGCTTGAATTTTGTCAGATACCTGAAAAATATAATTAATTGTTCATAAAAATTGAGCACAGAGACCACAATTGTTTGGTTGAAGGAATAAAACAAATTTCAATCAAATGTTTAGTTTGAAGTTTTCAGATGCATATCAAGATTGTGTAATGTCTTTCTGAACTTTACAGTAAATTTTTTAATGTAAACTATGAAATCTGACATCTTAACTGATTTAGAAGACAGTAGTATTTTTGGCTGTTTTCACAGCTGTTCTTTAAATAACCGATGCAAAATAAAAGAAAAAATATGTATGGAGACAAAACATTTCATTGTTAGTAACAGAAAAGCTGTAAAAACAACTTATCAAGTTTTCAAGATAAAAAACTGAAATCCCCCCTGAGATCTTCTAACAACAAAACAAAATAAGCATACTAGTGAAAGAATATATTATCAAATCATAATTGAGATCACCACAGTGTGTGACATCCTGGCACTTCACTTACTTGTCTAGTGTGACCCAGAACTGCTGTAATGTGGCCCGATCTAGATGGCGCCGGTGTCTGTCTAGATTCAAAACACACACATCCCATTTTGCCACATTGTTATCCAGTGGTAACTCCGCCCATTTCACGTGGAAACCTCGAACTGAAATATATGCATCAGGTTTTTATTGTACTACTATCTTTTTTTATCACAATATCCGCACTTTGTGTTTGAAAGTGAGCAAGAAAAACGTGTTTGGCTCTTAACACGAAGAGATTGCTGCAGCGTCTTTTTTTATAAATACAAGATGTTTCGGTAACAAAAGTCATCTCAAGTCAGAATCATCTAATGGTCTTTTTTATGCCATTAATGTGATGGAAAGTTATAACTAAACTTACTTCTGGAGAATATTTCCACAGGATTTCCACCCCATGGCCAGCCTTTAAACTGCCAGGCAGGACCCTGGACAAACACTGCCACAACCCTGTCCCTGTGGGAGAGAACACACAAAGCCTGAACATACTATAATATATGCACCTTCTTAAAAAAAACTAGTCAAGTATTATACATTGATATAAACTTTTTTTTTTTTGCTCAATGAAGAAACTCTCATTCAGTTCCATAGCCTAAGTCCCAAAGATGCATTATCTAAGTATGTTCAAGAAAATAAACTCAAGACAGAAGAGACATGTAAACAGAATGACCTAGACATGGGTCAGGTAATTGCAAATATTTTCTTTATAACAATCATTATGTCATTTACTTTAATTGTGATGACCTACCACATAACTAAATAAATGTAGTAACAGTTTGAGATAAGAAAACTAAGAATACTAAAATATATCATTTGCCAATTAGGCAGCTTACTTCAATAATAAACAATGATTATAATCAAGTTCAGTCTTACCAATCATCAGGGTTAAGTTTTGCTATACTGTCAATAATTCTGTAGGGCACAGTGGTACCCCCGTCCTTCCCCCTCTGTATCAGCACCTCGTTGTCACGCTTGGTGCCCTGCGCCCTCTTGTCTTCTGTGCTGACAAATCTGTATTTATCAAGAGATTGCTATTTAACTCCAGAATTGAGGTATGAAATTTTCTGACATACCCTAGTTTGGATTAAATTTCTTATCAAAATATAGTTCAAGCTAATACTTTAATATCAACATTTGCAATTTAAAGAGAAACAGTTTTCCTTAGGTATATCAGCAAATTACAGCAATGATTAAAATTCCAACCAAATTTTTTTAGATTTTGTATCAAATGATACAAAAATTCACATTTAATTCTTTTATCTGCTAAAGGCTTACTTGAAACCCTGTATAAAAATATCACGTGGATTTCACAATGGAGATGCTAACATGGCAACTATTTCAAGCATTTTCAGCAACACATTTTTCAAACCATAGAAGCCCTCGACTTTGTTCAAGGCATTGCAAACACTCTGTGGTGATAATTTTATGCACAGACAAAACATTAAATGACACATCAAAATGGTGACAATTCTCTTACTTGAGATCCTGTAGTATGTCCTTCGCATTATACATAGTAATGAGTGAGGTGGTGGCAGCTGGGATGATAATAATGGGAGTACGGGAACCTGAAAATATACAGAAATCCTAGGGAAATTCCAGTTTAAAAAAAAAACAAATTAGTGATAAATTGAACCATTCTGCAAAAAGGTCCCAAAAGTAACATGTTGGTTAAAAAAAAAAAACCCAACCACACATACTATAGTGTTGAAAGTAACAAAAACTTATTAGTCAGGCAAAGTAATGGCTCTCAAAAACCTTAATCAAAGTCATATACATCTTTCTAATTATTAATAACAGATATAATATCATATAAGAACTGAAAACAATTTTTTTCAAAATCAATTTTTGGACATCAAAACAAATGAAGATCCAGAATCTCTTACAATGCACTACAGACAACATGAGGTATGCAATAATAATTCTACCAACAACAGCAACAAAAACAATAATTTTTTTCATGATCAGAAGACTTTACAAAATATCTAGAATACAAAATAAGTAGCACAATACAATATAAGCTGAAAGGAAATAGGAGCTTGTACCATACAATAAAGCAATATACATACCAAACATTGCTTTTGTTGCCTTCTTTGCTGAATACCTTTTGGTTTCTATAAAAGAGCCAGATTTAGAGAAATAAACTCCTAAATATTTTAAATAACCACCCAGCCTACCTCTCTTCTGGTTGGGTGGAGGCCTGGCCTGTGAGATGGGTCTACTGACTGGGGCAGCAGCAGGCTGTGGTTTGGGCTTAGGTTGCTGCCTTACTGGCTCCTGCTTGCGACTGTGAGCATCCTCTGTCACGGACTTCAGCGTCATCCCGTGGAATGTCCGCGTTGTATCCAGCTGGAAGTCACCAGTTTCTGGAGTAGAGGACAAACAGTTAATGCAAATATTAGTGGAAAATAGTTGAAAGTCACCAGTTTCTGGGGTTCAGGTGAAAGGGAGGAAGAAATCTTAATCTTCAAGTCACCTGTTATATGGGGGGAGAGGATAAACTAGGAAATAAAAGGTTTTCAAATTATGTTAGTATAAACATGTCTGATCTTATATTGGTTATTTTTTTCCAACATGTATTCAGAAAAATTCCATCTGAAGGTCAAAAAGATATCACTCTGACTATGACATGTTGAAATGTTCTCAGTTTTCATTTTGCATACAATTCAAAGAATGAATCATAATACACTAATACTGCTGGATATAGTATTGGAAGAAATTAACCTGAATGTAAATATTTAAGTGGGCAACTGGATACAGAGGACAGTTTGTTGGCAGTTCTTACCTTTCTGGCCCGTGTATCTCTCCTGATCATATCTGTTATACTGTGGTGCCACTGCCGCTGGCTGTGGCCTACTCTGGAACTGAAAGGTTAACAAAACCTCTGGTTAAGTTCCTTATTTTACTTAGATAAGGTCACTAGTAACTTCATGGGCATGAAAGGCCACTAACTTTGTGATTATATTTGCCATCTATGGTGAATTTGTGGTAAGCAATCATGTTTACCACATGCTGTACATTATCATTATATCATTTTCTATGAAAACATTGTTTATAAGCTTTCTACTGAAGCAATGTTCATTAGCTAATCTTACGGAGACTGGTGTAGGTTGTGGGTTTTGCTGTCTATGGGAGTGGCCTCCTTCTTCACGAGCCTTGATGGACTGTAAGATACTGAAGATGTTCTTGGCAAACTCCTGAAACAGAATAACGACCATTCAAGATAATAGAGATATTTAGTCAGAGGACATAGGACCTGAAAAAATTGAATATTTTTAGCATTCTGCATAAATGAAAATAACAATGATTTTGGCAATAGATCTAAGCACTGCACTTGCCTAACTTTTCTCTCCATTTCCTAAAATTTTCATTTTTTTAAATAATTTGTGGCTTAAGGATTTAACTGAAGAAGAGGGACCAAAGAGATACAAAGCAGAATATAATTTCTACTACATTTTCTAACCACTATCCAAATTTGAGGAATTTTGGGTACCCACCTTGCCAGCACTCTGTAGTATGGTGGTTCTGGTCCTCCAAACCCTCTCCCTGCTCACAATATCCCTGGTGACATCCACCTCCGCGTCCACAAAACTCCTCTGTTCCAGCATCCCGGTGCCCATCTCATCATCTCCCTTGATGGTGGAACGTTTCTTGGCAAGGATCTTAGCTTTAATGGCAGCAATCTTCTCCAAGGACATTGCTTCTGATAGGGAAGAGGATCTAAAATAAATTGAGCAGGATATTAACATTAAAGGTTTCTTAAAGTTGTGCTCATAAAGAGAGAGACTTAAATGGGAAATAGATAAAATGTTGCCAAAAGATGTCTTAGATTAGATCATGACGAAAATGAAATCAAGTCTAAGTTAATCTGTGTCTGGAGCAACTTAGTTGGTGTTGCTCTATATAATTTTGATAACAATCAATAATCCAGGTTTTGTAGGCACAAAAATCCATATCTGAATCTTAATATGTTCAAATTTATACACTTTTATAGAATATTTGCCACGGGTGACTGTTTTTTTTTTAATATCAATTTCAAAAATAAATTCATACCTCAGGAATTTAAAATTTAATTTCAAACAGAACTTCATTTAATTGGTGTTAAGCTAACAAAGAAACTTCGAAATTATAAATCCCTTTCTGATGGAAGTAAAAACCATCTTTTTAATCCCACTTACTGTACATGAGCAGGTATCACAGATGTTTTCTTGGGAGCATCAAGTTTTGCTGCTAAACGCTCTTTGTCCCTCAGAACCTCCTCTTCCTGAAATAGTAATAATAATGAGTAAAGAAAAGTAGAAAAAATACATAAGTGTGATTGTTTTCTACACATTTATATTATCTAGCCATCATATGCTTTCAATATCCATTATGGAGTCACGTTATTTCACTAATTTGGTTTTTTAGTAAAAAGGTTTCATTAATTTTCATAAAATCTTACTTCCAGCCTTGGTTTCTTTTTGTCTGCTTCTCCAAATGCATCATCTCCAGGGCGCTTGGCTGAAATTGATGAAAATGTCAATCAAAAGTAATCTAAACATTATTATAATATTGAGAATACACATTGTCATTGTATATTATATATGATGTCATTATAACCTGCTGATATAACTGAATATGAATATCTACAAAATAAATAAAGTATTTCACTTATCATACTACAAGCCATGAATATTCAAATAACAGTATTTTGTGCTTTCATAAAGATACGTTAGTCAAAACTGACATTCATCTTTACAAATGTGTACAAAAAAGTCCAAGTTCTCATGATGCAGAGGTGTGGGGTGCATAATTGCTTGTGTGTGAAGTCCTGGTTTCTGCAAAGCGAAATTCAGAGTGAAATGAGGGGTCACTCTGGTTTTTGCCCAGATGCTTACTTGTGACTGGTCTCTGTACAGGGATTTCTAGGGGAGCACTTTTATCGATGCTAGCTGAGGCTGCCTGCTCTCCATTGAGATATGCCAGCAAATCTTTTCTGTCTGGTCTTCTAACCACTGGCACATTGGCAGCCTGCAAGAAGAATATCAGTGACATGAGAGGTATGCTAAGTTGCCCATGATATGAGCAAATACTTATTTCAAATATAAAATAAACATGTAACAGAATTATATGCAAACTAATTTCTTTTCTTTTCTTTCTTCATCTTCTCTTTATTTATTTTTTACTTTTTTAATACTGATTACTATTAGGAAATAAAGATGAAATTTTTTAATCTACAAAGTATAAATCCAATGGATGCACATCATTCATAAGAGCAATGCATCAAGTATGAAACTTACAGCAGCTTGTCTGACATAGAGTGAGTGAGCCAACTGGACGTTCTTCAATAAGAAAATGATACAATCCAGTGTGTAATACTCCTTAGCAATCCCATCCTTGCCAGTACTGAAAGATAATAGCCACATCTCTACATAATGAAGTATGATCAGTATATAATTTGTTTAACATTATACAAAGGTAAAATATGGAACCTATACCTCTTTTTTACATGTAAATGCTTAGGGGGAAAAATAATAGTGGATTTATTAATGTCAAAGGCACATGACCCTAATGTGGAGTTTAGTTTGCAATATTGGGTTATGTGTTATTATATTTATCAGTGTGATTGACTATCAAACAGTAACACAGAGTTTCTACAGATTTGATCACGCAATTAGGTCGATGATAGACATATAGCAAAGGATTGTGTTGCTGAACACCTTATTTAGATTGCAAACTCACCATGTTATGAGTTTAAATAGTTTTAGGAGCATCCAATACACTACCTAGTAATTTTGTTATATCTGATGCTAAATGATTGTAGTTGAACATCAGCACATTCTTTCTACTTTCACAAGAGATGAACGAAAGGATTGTGACTTGATTTATATGAATACAACAGGTCGACTTGTGCAAAACGCATGGACCAGTTTGTTGATTTATTCAAATTGTCTACACGAAGACTAAGAAGTATCTTTTAATGTTCTTACTCACCCCCAAACCAAGTAATTGGTTTTGGCAGTCTTTGGCCATGCCATATCTCCGAATATAACCAGATCATCTTTCTCTATGATCTCCTTTTTCTGAATATTGTACTGTCGCAGCGCACTCAGCACGTCAGCCATGATTATTTCTTCCTGTAGCTCCGGGTCTTCATAAAACAAAGCTCTGATACAAATATTAATTTATCTATTGTTCTACGCGTACCTATTGAGTCCATGTTTATGTAAATGTACATCTTGCAGTTATGAAATTATGAAACTGCACTTGTAATATATATTAACGTTAAAACCTTTATTATTTTGTATAATATTAATATTTAGTTGTAGGACTGTGATTCCGTCTCGTAAACAAACATGGCGGCGCCCATTATTGAGGTGCGTGAAACAGAAGCTGAAGTTGCAAGAGAGCTTTGCAGCTTGGTAGCTAAAAAAGCAAACCAAGCGATAGAACAGAAAGGAGTATTTACGGTTGGTGTATCAGGTAGAGCAGCCTTGAATGTTGTCATTATTTATTTTGTTCGTTTTTTACTCTTTAAAAATTAAATACCAGCGCTAGTACAGTAGTAGCAAGGAGTTAGTAGTAAATGATTTTGTTGTACTATAGCATTAATTATGCTGCCACGGATAGCTCTGATGCTGTCCCGATACTTAATAGAGTTGACCATTATTTGGCTTAGGCATTTCTCTTTGTGAAATTTCACGAGCACTTGTATTCATTGGTCACTTCATGAACCTACTGGAGTATTTATGTGTCAGCTGGCTTTGAAATGTAATGTATACTGTAGTATGTTATCACTTTCCATATTCTGTGTTACTTAGTTTCTTTAATTGACTTTTAATTGTTATTCTATTATATTGGCTTTTTGATGTTTGAGAATTCTGAACATAATAGCTATTACTCACACGGCATTGCTAGCTACATAAAAACATACACAACATTTTAACTTTCACATTTCAATATACAGATTTTATCATTTTCTTTCAAAACACATATTAATTAATAAAGAGATAAATTGTGAATTCTTTTTCCAAGGTGGCAGCTTACAGAAACACCTGTGCAATGGACTTCCAGGTGAAACAACTGACTGGACCAAATGGCATATATTCTTCTGTGATGAACGTGTTGTGCCCTTTGACAATGACGACAGCACATACAAGTACTATAGGGACAATCTGCTGGGGAAGGTTCCCTTACCAAAGGAAAATCTAGTGCCTATTGACCCCTCTTTACCAGGTATGTAAATTTGGTGTGATGGGGCACTTTGTTGTTTTGTGTTAGTTTTTCTCATGATAATCTAATTTTAACATCAGTTTTGTTTAATACTTTAGTAAAGTCCTTGCATTTTTGACTTTGAAACAATTTCTGCTTGTTTTTTTATATCATTACAAACACAGAAAAGTAAAGAGACAAGTTTTATGAGTAAAATTATCCATTTCATTTGTTTTTGATCTTTTTAAAGATAATCTATGACTTATGAAACTGATATTTTCTGTAAATTGTATGTCATATATATATATATACACACTTTCAGCAAGTGAGGCAGCAACTGACTATATATCCAAGCTCCGTAAAGTGTTTCCAGGCACTGAGCTCCCAAGGTTTGATATGCTGCTGTTAGGGATGGGACCAGATGGCCATACATGCTCTCTGTTTCCTGGACACAAATTGCTGGATGTAAGTTCATGTATGATGATACTGACAATTAGTTGAGAGTAACTAAAAAAAAAATATTTAAAAGCTCTAAGGAGCAGTGAACGATTATGTTTGGGTAGTACATTTTGCAAACAAGTAATTAGTATTTCACTGAATATTTTTTAATCATTTTTTTCTTAGGTTACAGATGTCATAGTGGCAAGTATAACAGATTCACCCAAGCCTCCCCCTCAGAGAATTACATTGACACTGCCAGTTGTTAACAATACTGCTTGTGCTGTGTTTATGTCTTGTGGAGAAAGTAAGGCAGAAATATTGAAGGTAGGTTACCCTAGATTTCCTAATGGTAGAACTCTATATAATAGTTCTTTTAAGAAAAACCCTTAATAATAGCTTTGAGTGCTCCATGACCAATCTGAAAAACTTATATTTTATGACTGCATCACTAAAAAATTCTATTTCATACACAGCGCTATATCCAAATAGCATGAAAAAATAAGCATTGTTTTTAAGTGTTAGAGTTTTATGCCAGAGATCTCAGATTATTACACCACAGTTAGCAGAAACAGGTTCCATGGTGCATTTACAAGGATGTTTTATAACAGAACTGTATAATTTCCACTTTTTCATAATACTTAAATCAGAATTCAATATTTGCTTCAGCGAGTTCTGGAGGGAAGTGAGGCAGACCCACTTCCAGCAGCCAGAGTGAGACCAACCAACGGAGAATTGCACTGGTTTCTTGACCAATCAGCTGCCAAGCTTCTCAAGTCGTGACTGACATGTGTTACGAAGAGCATGCTTTGACTATCTTATACATTCTGTGTTGAAAAGAGTAATGGAAAACTAATCCAGACTAACAATTAAGTCTAATAACTAACAAAGTTACAAGTATTTGTTTGGCATTATTTGATCCAGGATTTTATTTTTCTCTTTGAGTATGAGTGCCGATCGAACAGACAGGCAAAAATGGAAGATTTAAAAGAAAACATTTTGACTCCATATTAATTTCCTACTTTGTTGACCTGTGGTCTCAGAGAAAGGCAGAAAGTATATTTGTTATGATTGAATGTTTTTGACATTTAAACTTTGGATACAATAGTTGGAATAATGGTACTTATTCTTATAAAGAACAAAGAGAACAGATATTGACTAAGCTTAATGATAATGTTCTTTTTATTGAGTTAAGATTCGAATAAAGAGTCTCTGTAATATTTACAAAGGTGAAGTTGAGAAAGGACTCCACAAATTATGCTTTAAAGGGGTGATTTCTGACTGAATTATAATGGTTATGCATTAATGACAGAATTTTGAGGAAAAATTTCCCTCACACAGGCATTTACCGTTTACACATGTTAATGCTAATGTTAAAACATTTTATTTTACGTCTTTAGATATACAAGTTTAAAATTTTAACCCACATACAGTAGTTGCAATCTCATTTTTCAGACAATGTTTCCTGTCTTTTAAGGAATGAAGATGTGATTTTATGTTGACTGAAGAAGGAGATTCTACAGTGTTTAACTATCGTAGCTGCAGAAACTCCTCAGTACTATTAGTGATTTAAATCAGAATCAAATAAAAACTGTGAAGTATTTCTAATTAATGAGTGTTTGTTTATTAAACATATGAATAAGTCACAGAAGGAGTTTGATTTCCATCGATACGTAGGTTACCTATTTCAGGCCCGTGGCCAGCAATTTCAAAAGGGTGGACCTTTTCCCATAAAAACTTTATGTACCTAGATCAAATTCTAGATCATTAATGCTAGATAAAGCATTACATTTTGATTGATTACAAACTGGATATGTTTGATTACCATGTTCCTTTTCATGACACTGTAAAAGTAACTACATCTGTATATCACCACCATGGGCACATCTTGCGTTAAGATCATGCGCAGCTCTGAGACTCACAACTTGGGGAGTGGAATTTAATTCTTAAATGAAGGTATTTTTATTCCCCTCCCCTGTTCGTCATCCATGTTTTTGCTTCATATCGCGGATTCTCCAGTCCAACGCTAATGTGTCATTATGTCCAAGCTGGGACGAACACAGGAATGGCCGTAGCGCAGTATCTCTCAGGTAAAATATTAAAGCATAAGCAGTTCATCTTTAGCTCGTGTAAAAACGATCGGGATAAGTTTTTTTTTTTTTTTTTTTTTTTAGATGTAAATGAATTTATTACATCAAAAAATGTAAAATACATTCAATGATAGTAATGATGCAAGCATCTGAACAATGGTTTTGTTTACATGTTCACACATTCTTAAATTATGTAATTTTCATTTTAAAATATTGATTTCATTTCCATATACACATAAATATTAAAAGTGATCTTAAAAATCAATTATATACAGTACATACACATAAAATAAAAAAACACTCCAACAGTTACAAAAGATCAACCTGAATTTTAGTTTTAGTTTACCATCTCTGCATTTCTCAAACAAAAGGCTGTACTTGTATCTGTGATATATTGCAATTACATTGAGTTTTGATGCTACAAAATATTCAATGACAATATTTTCGCTTTACATGATTGATCTACTTGAAATTAGTCAAACAGATATCAATGATGAGGTTTCACTTGATGGTTCAAGGGGTCTCTAGATTTCATGTCCCCAAATACTACAGTCTGGAATTGTCTGTATGATAGTCAAAAGCTACACAATAACCTACATCCATCATTATGAAAGACAGTGAAATAGTTGTCCATCTTCACAGGGAAACTGTTTTCCTTTTAACACATCTGTTTCCCACTTTGTCTTAGCACAGAAGCCAAGGATTGTACACAGGTCTTTCCAATGGACATCAATTTGCTCAGCTTTTTCATGATTATGTCCATGTTTGAGAATCTTTCATCATTGAAAATCTCATTTATGCTCCAGGAGATGAAATCAATGCGCTTAAAGATCGGCTTAACTGCTGTCGCTACTTGTTCATCCTGTAGATAGAGGGCAGTGTGCTCTGCCAAGTGGTGAAGCTCTGCATTGAAATCAGCTGCTGACTCTAAAAATTTCTTCATCTGCTCAAGTTTTTCCATACGCTTCTGGAGTTGCTCTGCAATTACGGGAAAGTCTAATTTCCCAAGCTTTCTTCTGTACAGCAAGGAAAGGCTATATAGGTCTTCAGTGGAACACAGGCGAGCAGCCCGGGAATATCATGGGTCAGGCATTGATAAGAAAATCAAGACTATGCTGTACGATCGGGATAAGTTAGCTATACTAGTAGCTTGGACATTTGGAAATAGATACATATATCTGGTACAAAGGTGGTGTTGTTATTTAAGAGAAATCTTCCATATAAAGAAAGTACTTTGAAAAGACAAAATTAAGCAACACATTGAGAAAGGCTATTTTTTCTGAGCTCTTTATTTCTCCTCACATTATGTAAATTAATAACCTTTTGTTTTATTGTGCATACCAAATCGATGATGCAGGATATCGATAAGATCCTTTTTTCCCCATTATTTCAGGTGCTATACATGACTGGCAGAAATCCTACTCACTGGTATTTGTGATATTAGCGCTTGGGTATTTAATATGTGGCCTAACCGTGTTCGCTATTGTAGCTATGAATACATTTTTGGCGAAGACAAAATATTCTAAGACTATTCCTGTGCAGAAGTAAACGCGAGTTAGTAGCCTAACTGGGTACTGCGTCATTATTGTATTATGAAATTATATTGTCACATGCGCTGTGTAACAGTAAAGTGTTTGATTCAAACTTTTTAACGGACAACATGTCAAAGACACGTTTGAGGCACGTAAGAAATTCGTTATAGTGTACAAAAGAAGTATATTTTTCTACTATTACGATATCAGCATTGGTGAAGGCTTTTAAAAGGACTGTCCTGTGGTCGAAGCAAAGGTGCTAACAAACTGCTCAAAAGAAATCTACGAAACGTGCAAAAGCACTGCTTTTCGGCTATGCTGGAGATCATTATAGAGATGTAGCATCATACACTGTCGATATGGGTATAGAATTACAGTATGACTAACTTATCACTTTCCGACTGCATGCTAAAACTTCAACAAATATAATGGAGTGCAAATAAATAAATATTATGGAAAACAAACCCCATGGTGCTGCGGATTAGTTATAGACTGTAAAGGTAAAATATGCTGAGTGAAAGTTTAACGTTTTAATTAAATCCTCCAATTCAGCGTTTTTTTTTTTCTCGTGTGACGTGTCGTCTAAGAAAGAAACCAAGTACAACAGGCTTAATGTTTGGCAGTGAGGAAAATATCAATGGGGGATGGGGTGGTGGTGGTGGTGCTCAATGGCGGATTTAGAGGGGGGTCAGGGGGGTCCTGACCCTCCCTTCGATTTCTGAAAAATATATCACATCAATATTCCCNCCAATTCAGCGTTTTTTTTCTCTTGTGACGTGTCGTCTAAGAAAGAAACCAAGTACAACAGGCTTAATGTTTGGCAGTGAGGAAAATATCCATGGGGGATGGGGTGGTGGTGGTGGTGCTCAATGGCGGATTTAGAGGGGGGTCAGGGGGGTCCTGACCCTCCCTTCGATTTCTGAAAAATATATCACATCAATATTCCCCTCTTGAAATTGGACCCTGCTTAATCCTCTTGGAGACTTATTGTGCCTTCAAATAAACCAGACTATAATCCAAATGAAAATGCAAAATCCAAATGAAAATGTTTTCAACAGCAACCCCTCAATAAAAATGTGCCCAACCCGTTGAAATTTGCATAACAGAAAGTTGCTCAGCGCAGTGCGCACTACTCGTATCTTCTTGACTGGTCACTTGACAGCTGCACACTGTAAGGACAGGACGCTAATATGTGTGATGAAGACGCAGAGTCGGAATTTTCATTCAGCTTCGAGAACAAATTGTCATGTAAGCAAATGCATGTTTTTCACGAGTTAAAACTACCAGATAAAATTTCTCATTATTTTACTCCTTCTAAACTTCCAAGTTGGTCTTAGTAGTTGACTGGATTTAAGAAAAGTTGCATAGTGATATCTTCAAAAATCATGAAAAGCACGTGCTGCCAGTAAAAACACAAATATAATATGAAGAAAGTTATATTAGATATTATGATTTTTGGTGCCCAGATGCTATTACTTCAATGTCACTCGATGTACGTAATTAGGCCACCTGAACACATTTCGTATTTTAAGCACTTCCATAGTACATGTACTTGATATATTAGTGTGAACCTTCTCAGATGCCTACATAACAAACGGATCAGTATAACAGTGCATCTAGTTTTAACAATATTTTTAAAAAGATTTCCATATTTTCAATCGGAACATTAACGAGAGAAAACTATTTAAGTTTTTCACGATGACGTGTTTGTGTATGTTAGCCTTCTAGACTCTAGATAAAGCTTTGACTTAAGGTTATTGAAACCCTTTATTATCATCCAGATACCAAAATGAGTTTTTCCTTTATATAATCATTCAACAATGCATCCATTTTTGTGCTGATTTAAAACAATGAAAAAAAACCCTCGAAAATATAAAATATCGGCGTTTATATTTTTTCGTTGCCATGTGTAAGCATAGGCATCTCAAAGCTTTAATCGTCAATTTAACACTTTTCTATTTTGAGGTGATATAGCAATCGGTATGGGGTGTAACTTCACCCCTGAACAAGATTTTGTCAAGAAAATTGGCATAGTTAAAAAGGAGTGTATAGGCTACAATCCTCTGCCTCTATCCACAGTTAGTACGATAGGGTCTGGGAATGGTCCCTTAACGTTGTAAACGCTTTCCAAATTATTTCTTGTGATTCTTCTCATCGTGATATATCAAATTTTTTAAACCTTCCATACAAACCCCGTTTTTAGTCGACATTTCAAATTTGGTGTTCAGTTAGCCTCAATGTGATTTTTTTCGGCATGAGCATTTTTTTTTTTTTTCATTTTCAGTTAATCTAATCTTTATTCGGATTCACTGCTTTTGAAGAAGAAGATTGAAATATTGCCATTTAAATTTTATTTTGATATTTCAGAACTGCAAACGCCTTTGTCGAGATCCTGCAGAGTGCACGTGCGCCTGGCTAAAGCTTTCTTGGTCTCCGAGACGTATTGTAAAATCTGCCGTAGATCCAGATCCATTTGCACCGCAGATGCTATATGTTGAAAATTGTACATAGTCTCTCTCTCTATCACTGAAATTTTTAACACATTTTAACATTTATATATATAGATATATTATGCCCTAGGGAGTGATCATAATAATTTTTATAATTATACCTTAGGGTATGCTATGTACATCATTTTATTTGGAACCAATCCAGCGTCCTTTTAAATTCACCTCATTATGAAATAGTGCAATTATTAAAGTGTTTAAAAAGGCATGATGTATTTTTCAGTGTGTTTGCAAATCACAAATTTCAAAGTTGAGATTAAAAACGCAATTTTCACGATGTTGAAACTCGGGTAAGATTGTTTATTTAGCCAATCAACTATATCCTATCAAATACAATCAACTATATTCTATAATTTGCATTGTATAAATACATTTTTTATTGTTAATATTTACACTTGTGAATGACAAGCAATTTATGAAAATAAATGCGCTTTTTTTGGGGGGGGGGGGTATTTTCTTATTCAATCGAATATACACATAATTAAAGTAAAATTGTACTGTATTTTTAGAATCTTTACTATACTCTATTTGGAATTCATTTTTGTTCTCCAGATTAAATCTAAAAGTGCTTTTAAATTTTGTAAATGAAAAATTTGAAATTAACACAAAGCAGTTTCATCATAATGGCACGAATTATTAATATGAGTAAATTCTGTAGGGACTAATTTTCAGATAAATCATTCCGGTCAAATTCAAATGGTTAACATCACCTGTCGGCCTATTCTTTGTCCAATAAATCCAGTCCTGTTCAAAGACTGTTCTATTTCCTCATTATCTTTTATTATTTGACCACATGAGATTGGAATGAATGATACTTGCATGACTGTATTGATACGAGTGAAAGAAAAAAAGCGTCTCGTCTTTGGGCGATTCAATCAAATTTGCGGGGTGAAAGGTGGAACAAGTCCATTTGTTTTGAGGGGGTGTCAGGTGGGGCGAGTTCATTCCATTTGAGGGGTGTCAGGTGGGGCAATTCCATTCCACATGAGGGGTGACAGGTTGGGCGAGTTCATTCAATTTGAGGGGTGGCAGGTGGGGCGATTCCATTCCATTTAAGGGGTGACAGGTGGGGCGAGTCCATTCCATTTGAGGGGTGGCAGGTGGGGCGAGTTCATTCCATTTAGGGGGGGCCGGGGGGGGGAGG